ATGGCAGAAGATCTTGGCTTTGCTTATGCTCTAGTTTCCCTAGATCTAAAGAACCATGTTCAAATATTTGTGTGAGTGTGTGTTGACTCAAAGGTTTAGGCTATGTCCCAGAAGTAGGAGGTCCAGAAGAGCTGGCCACCGGAATGAAATCTGGTGATCCATAAAGGAAGGCAGGAAGGAAAAATAAAATCCAAAGAGAGGAAAAGAAGAAAGAAAATTTCAAGGCTATCAGGCTAAACATTACACCACCTTACAGTCAACACTGCAGAGGAAACTCAATGTAAAAGAGCGATTTGAGCAAAAGACCCTTGAAAGAGCTGCATTTTCAATGCTCGCTTGAAGACCACGGAGGAAGTGGCCCACGGAATGCCTCAGGGCAGGCACCCCTGAAGCCTGGGGGCGGCGAGCAAGTAGACGCTTTACCCCCACCCCCCCACAACCAGTCAAGGCGCTGGAGATGAGATATAGACCTGGGCCTTCCTCTCTGCTCTAAGTGTTTGGGGAGGTTCATCAGGAAGAAAGAAACGGGGACGGGGTTTGGATGCTTGCGAGATGAATTGTGCATCAGTGGGGAGAAGGCGTCAAAAACCTTAATTTTGAGAACCTTGTTGTGAAACGGACCTCTCAAGGTTTCCAGGTTGGGTTCTGCAAGGGATAAATAGACCAGACTCATCTGAAAGTGGTTTGTGTTCCGGCCCCAAGAATGTGTGATCTCGCTAGCTATTGAGATAAACAGCCTGACCTCGCTTAGTCCACCGGCTAGAATGCTAGAGGAGGACTTAGGAGACGTGGGTTCAAATCTCCGCTCACTGGGCCACCTTTGGCTCAGCCTCACCCACCTCACAAGGTCTTGGGATGATGAAGAGGAAAATACCCATGGATGCTCCCTTGAGCTCCTTGCTGAAAAGGCAGATATAAACATAAGGAAGAAATGCATAAATGAAAAAAGTGTCTGCCTCTTTCCATAACAGCCAGTTAAAGTATTGTGCTTATCTCTAACTCGTGCTGACATGGTATTTTTCCATCTTTCTTTGCCCCACTGCCCCTTGCTAAGACGGCTCCATCCAGGCTGGTGCTTGACCAGAGGTGCTTTAAATCTCAGCCAAAGCTTTCCTTCTTAAAACCCTTCTTATGAAGAGTACAAGATGAATCACAGGCCTGAGACCAAGGGTCCCTCCCACCTTTACCTTTACCTGCTCAGGAAGACAGAAAACAACATCCTCCCCCCCCCAGCTGTGGTTTTCCAGGAGGGGTTATAACAGTTAGGGCTCAAAGCCAGTGGCGTGTTCCACAATTACTGGAGCACACTTTTTAGAAAGGAGCTGATCCCACATGGGAAAGGTGTTGGCGAACCGAAGCCACAGCATCGCAGGAATTTCTTGGCCATTTTTTTGGTTGTTCTGTCCTCAGCAGCCATGCTCAGCTCTCTGAAACTCAAACTTGTGGCTTCCTTTAGCGAGCCAATCCATCTCGCGTTGGATCTTCCTCTTTTCCTGCTGCTTTCCACCCTTCCCAGCATGATGGTCTTTCCCAGACAATCCTGTTTTCTTGTGATGCGCCCAAAATAGGATAGCCTCAGCTTTGTTGTTTTAGACTTCATCAAATGTCTCAGATGCGGTGGAATAAGCATCGCTTAGTGCTGTGCGCTACTCTTAGTGCCACTGAACCTAAAAGGGCACCTTCATGCATCCCCTGGAGTGGACATGTCAGATGGTTATCTTCATTTTGAGATAACCCTCATCAGTAGATTTCCACAGCTTTTACCTGGGTTCTGTCCCTTCCTATTTGGGGGTTGTTTTTTTAAAGGCCCCCACTAGGCCCTGTTAATTGTTATCTCCTGTCCCAATCAGCCAAGGTCTCTTATTTTAATTCTATAAATTGGATACAGATGCTACGACAACAAAGGAGAATAAATATAGAGCAAGGGGGGGGGAAAACAGAGAGTGACTATATACACAACAAGCACCAAGGACTTACATCAGCTTTGGAGCAAGAGAGAGCTGATAACAGGGAAATCTTTACCAAAGGAAGGCTGTGATAATAGAAAACAAATCCGCCCACCCTCCCACCCTCCCAGGTGGGTCAAAAACAAAGTAGATCCATGTTTTCAAAAAGAGGACTTGCGTAGCCACTTTCTTCATCCGTCAACTTGCGTGCATTGATATTTGAACTTCTCCTGCTTGCCAGATTCTCCAGATTCTGCCCAGCCTGGCCAGCGCACAGCTATTTTCTACTCTTGTAGCAGCCAGTAAAAAAATGAATAATGTCTTTGTCGAAGAATTAGAGTTCTTAAATTTCAACCGCCGAGCCAAAAATAGATCCGGCTGAATCGGTTTGTGGTCCCTGCCTCAAGACAGGACTTTAGAATCGAGCTTCAAATATTTTTATTGTAACTTTGGCTTTCTACATGTGACATTCCTCCTTGTCTGTTTCCTTTGAAGGAGAGAGAAGACGATGGTGGTTAGAATCACAGAGGAGTGGGTATGAACTTTAGAGACGATGCCGAGGTTCTTGCAATCAAAGTTCCTTTCATGATTTTGTCCAGTTTCCCAAGAATATATGGACATATGGATGTGCTTGTGCTGTCCCTAGTAGTTTTCCATGATTTCTCCAGAATTATTAAATGAACAAGTTGTATAGAAAAGTGATTAAGCTATCCCATTGATTCTAGAGGTTAAGTACCTCTCAAACAATTTCTCCGTCTAGGTGAAATGGCAGGGGACATAGGGATTTTTATTTTAAATAACTAGTTGCATTTCTATGCTGGTTTTCCTTCCGCGAGTTCAGAAAGACATGCATGACTCTCCTTTCCTCACTTATCCTCATGACAACCCAAGGAAGTAGACTAAGAAGTCATGACCGGTCCAACACCATCCACTCAGTGAGTTTCATGGCTGAGTTGGGATCTGAAAGAAAACAGGACTCTTTGGAGAAGACCATCGTGCTGGGAAAAGGCGGAAAGGCAGCAGGAAATTAGGAAGACCAAATATGAGGTGGGTTGACTCCCTAAAGCAAGCCAAGGGCTTGCGGTTTGCAAGAGCTGGGCAGGGTTGTTTGAGATTGTTTTCGTCTTTATCAAAGGTTTCAAGAGCATAAAGATACAGCTGTATCCTGCTGCTATAAAGGAGGAGGACGGTAATAAATCACACGGTTCAGGATGTCAACTCTCTCTCTCTCTGTGTGTGTGTGTGTTCAAAGGTTTCACCTTGCAACCAGGTACACCTTACCTTCAGCGTGGTTCAAAGAGGGGTGGGGACCTGACGCTGCCTCTTGAATATTGTTGGAAAGGCAGCTACTAGAGAAGTCGGACACCATGGGAGAGCAA